CTAATTTAAGTCCCGTTTTCTTTACCATCCTTTTCTTATGAGAAGATGAGAAGGGGAAGTGGATTTGACGATAGAGGAGATGCATAGGAAGAGAAAATACCCTTTTTATGTGCGTCTCCTCCTCCGTCGGATAAGGGTAGGCAACGCATCTGCAATTGCGGATGTCTATGGGCAGCGGTCGATTTGCCATTTTGGCAGATTCAGGTGGCCGCTTGCTCGTTTACCACCTTATGTTATAAAAAAAACGTACACTAATCTCTTACAAATGTAGATAACGACGTTACGAAGTCGTTCTCGCAACTGTCAATTATCCCTAATAGACCCTTTGTTTGTTGAAGATGTAATGTTAACTAACAATGAACGAATGCCAGTAACCTTCTTACTAATATTATAAATGCGAAAGTTTACATGGATGGATGTTTGTTAGACTTTACCGCCAAAACTGTTGATGACTCGATGATTTTGAAAAGACGTAGATCAAAGCTTGAAAGTTATAGGCTACTTACTTTTTTAATTACACCCGGACGGAGTTGTGGGCGAAAGCAATTGTTCTGTGAAGAATAAATAGTGCATATTCCCTTTTTACAAAATACGAATTGATTTGAAAAAATGACTGTGTTACGCATTAGTGAGTCGCAAGCCTAAACGGTGGTCGATTTTATTTTATATCTACAATCTAAGAGGCACAGAGATCGTTACTTTGATCAGTTTTTAAACGAAAGTGTGTCGTATAAACTGTGATAGATTTCACCTATAAGCTATTAATTTTATTTACGAATGCCAATAAATAACTTTTTAAGACTTCAAATTACTAACGGAAAAGTGTTTTTGCGGTGTTAATGCATTTAATGTTGAATATGGAAATAACGTGCTTAGTTCTTTTACAAAAGAATCAGTTTTAGAAATCTTACTATCTTATCTTACTTCTTACTATCTTACTAATATTAGATCTTACTAATATTATAAATGTGAAAGTTTAGATGGATGGATGTTTGTTAGAGTTTGTAGCCTAAACGGCAGAACGGATTTCGATGAAATTTGGCATTGATATACAAGATAGTCTGGAAGAACACATAGGCTATTCACTTTTGTTTTTTTTTTTCAATTCCACGCAGACGGAGTCGCGGGCGATAGCTAGTATATTAGTATATTTTATAATATTAAATTAATGATATGTTTTTAAACATACTGGTGGTTTTCAAAAGAACTATAATAATTTCATGTAACACTAAACTTTAGGCCACAATTTTGTCATTAGGTAATTAAAAAAAAATAGTAACTTACGTGTTCATCTAAAATGTGTCCTACATCTGTGTCAAACATCGCCATCCGTTACGCCATTTTGTAGATACGTAAGAAACATCTAAAACCTATGCATGTATAACATTAGAAGGACTGTAATGTTACGGAATTCCATTGACATATACGCCATTGCCTAGGTCAATTGGTAGTTAGGACACAAGATAAATAATAATTAAATATTACAGTCCATGACCTAAGTAATTAAGATGGCGTCTCCATTCCTTGTTCATTAGACAATTTGTTTCATCCAGACAACTGGGGAATCCCATAGTAATGCCACAGATAATACCAAACTACACATAGCAGTATAACAATAGTAACTGTGCTGTTTACTGCGATTATTGTTTTACTGCTCTATAATTTAGTGTTCATATCTAATGGGTTTCAAATTAGTCTCTTAAGCAGTATTAATGCGGCTCTTGGTAAGAATTTCATTCTCATCAATGTTTAGATATGTCTAAATTTATTTTGTTTAACTAAAAACTTTATGTGCATTTTGGTGAAGGCATCAAAGTCCCAAATTATCCCTGAATTCGTCTCTTGTGTTTAATCAGAAAACTCCTTCTAGAGAGAATAAATATCCATGAAATACCTAGGGCTTTAACAGTGGTAGTGCCCGCTTCAACATCTTAGCACTGCAGGGCACGCCCGGTGTAATACCACGACCACACAGAAGACAGGCG